GCAGATATGGCCTCATATCAAACCCATTGGGTGTCCAATACAAAGGGAAGGGTCTGCGACATGATACACGGAACCACGAGGTCACGTTTCCTTTGTTCCTCAATCCGATTTGCCGCGCCCCAGCTCAATTACAGGTGAGAGCCTCTCAGCGAGGTGGACCGCTACCCTGAGGCGTATTTTCCTTCTTGGAGGGTCCTTTTTAGCCCCCCCCTCCAGGTCAGCAGGACACTGCCCCAGAAACAGCGCATCATAGTAGCTGCCAGCACATCGATTAGTGCACACATGACTGACTTTATTTTTGTAGGGCTTTCTAGCTGTCTTTCCCTCTTACCCTCGCATATGTGAGTACCTCTGGCAGAGTTGAGAACAGGCCCTGTTACCACATGCCATGTCAAACCGCGATGACACAAATCAATTCCCATTTCCAATGACTCGCCGCCGTTATCGAAGTCTTTGCTGGCCCTTGGTATTTACTTGCTGCAGTTCCAAAACCAACCCGTAACACGGGAAACGGAGATTGGAAACTCAACCTTCAACAACCGTATTCAACTCCACTCCTCGATTAAATCCCCTGGTTTATTTGGTACTCACGACAGTTTTTCTTTTCTTTTATTCACCCTTCGCTTTTGCCTCTACGGTGTTCTAAGATTGCGGCAGGGCCTCCCTGCTTGTCAAAGGTGCCCGATGCGATATTCTGGTTTGGACCATCAATTTTTGGGCCCGGGCAGACCGATTTCCTGTTTAAGATGGCCCATGGGCAATCGGAATGTGCATACGAACATCTTGGCCGAGCCCAATTGCATGGGTTACTGGCAAGGACGACCCAATGCGCCGGCTGGCAAGGGCCCCTAGGTGGAGCGGAATATTCAGGACACCAGAATGCTCTACATACGCACGAGTCAATCCAGCTACCCACAGGCAATTTGCCATGGCGAGCCTATCGTTACAGGCCCGACAACCCAGGTTGGCGGGCCCGCGGAAGTGGCCCGGTACTATAAACATATTATGGTAATTATGCGCAGGGAGGCCATCATGATACTGGCCTGGCCCCGGACCCGGGAACAAGATGAATGGTCCTCTGAAACAAGAGCACGGAGCCTCTTCATTATGTCGCCCATGGCAGTAATGTTATATTTCATTCGAGGAGCGTCGGGCAGAGGCGAAACCGGGGTTTGATGACGATATTTTAGCGATATGTCTGACAGCTCCCATGGAAACTGGGCAGCCAGCAGTGCCTTGCCGTCGGGGCACGATGAGGCAAGTGGTTGGTATTACATCCCTGAACTCGCTTCTTATTTCCGGCCACCTGGATTCCCGATAGCCAAGAGTGAAGAACGTGGTTCTAGAATGGGTCGCTTCCCGTAGCATTCGAGAGCGGATGAACCGGCTTGCCTGATATCGCTAAGTTCCTCCCTTGCTTTCTTCATCCTTTTGTTTTCCCTCTACTTTTCCTTCTTTCCCTTTCAGCTCTCCTCTTCCCTCGCGCTTGTATCCATGTTTGCCGGCAACCATGCCTGTTGGGTGCATCCATGAGGTTGGTATCACGCATGCCTGTGCCCCTAGTAGAGGGACAGGATAATTACGTATGTAGGTGCTTTTTTGGTGTTTGCTTGCTTTTGGCAGCGGGTTTAAGTGGGGCTCCGCACACTCAAACGCCCTGCCCGGGATTTGCAAACGGGGAAATGAAGCCAAACGCCACACTCATTGTTGTGTGGCCCACCCATTCACACAGCTGTCCGGTGCGGCTGACCACGAGGGTTGAAATCGGCCAGTAGGTACTGGGCATTGTGCATAGACGTAGGTGGGTGGCGTATGTAATCACATCAGTCTCTCCAGCACCGCAGTAAGCGACAGTGTTGGCTTCCCTTGCGAAGCGTCTTCACACAATGACATCCATGGATATCAATCTAATCCCACTCCACGATCGATAGAGGCTAGCGAGGAGAGAAGAGAGTGGTGTTGTCCGCTAGTCACACATTCATCCCACTTTGCATTGTTTGCAGATGGCATCCATCATCTGAGGTACGAACATTGCCTGTGCTTCGGCCAACCTTTACTTGCCTGCCACAATGTCAGAATCCAGCCAGCCAGTAGCACTTCCAGGATGGAATGGACTGGCAAGATGCCCACCAGGGGGACCACTCCAGAACCATAACCAGACTCAGATCCCCAGTCCCAAGGTCTAACTAACCTCGTTGGTGGCGGTCGCAGACAGCTTCCCGCCGCGCCGCTGCCACGCTAGTGACGCCCTAAAAGTGTCCCGTGGACGATTTTCTTTTTTCCCCCTTCCTTTGTTGTCGCGAGCTATGATTTCGTTTCTTTTTAGAGTTGTCACGAGAAAAGATGATAGATCAACCACCACCCTGTACCTTTGGTCCCGCTCCGGTTTAATTTTTATGATTTTAATAATGTCTCTGCCTGGATGTTTTGCGTTTTTCAGGGTTCGCTTTATTCTCTCATTAGCTAGTTACCCGACTAATGCGATGCGAGTATCCCCTCCTCTTCATGCGCATACGTAGATCCTGTTGGCCTGTCACATATCATCTCATAACACCGTAATCCAGTCTGCCTGCGACCAAGTGTATGTATCGTCGCATCCTATGCCTTCCGGGGGGATCAACCACCCCTGGCCTGTCCAGGTAGGTTTTTTTCACGATGTCCCCTTCCCGCAGCCCCTAGCGGTTTTTATGTTACCAAGGCTCTGGTCGGCGGGACGCCAGCGACCGTCTGGGCATGGGCTGGTTGGACAACCCCGGCCCAAAGGAGGGGAGGCGACCTCACGATGCCTCAACCAGAAGCAGCCCGCGCGGTTTGCTACCCCGTGTGGTCTCACTGCAGCCAGCCCGCGGCTTGACGCTTTTGAAACGCACAGGGTGTGCGAATCGGTACCTGCATCGTCGGGTGCCACGAACTGCATTTCATTTCAAAGCTCCTGCCGTCGCGTTCGGAGGAGTCCAAGCACGACTGGCCAATGTCTCATTGCCTCAGGTTCCTTTGCAGCCGCTCAGCTGGCTCTGGCGGCGGCATTCATGGGCACCCCTCCGGCAACACGCTCAGAACCCCTACGAAACCCTTGCATGTCAGGCACTCGCGCTGGCGAGTTTGAGGGGACCGAGCTGGAGTGCCAGTGCTCCCTTTGGATTAGGTAGTAGCTCAGGAGAGAGGAGGTGTATTAGCTAGTAGTGTGCGGTCATGAGCTTGCTCTACTCCTGTCATATATCACAAACCATGTTCCTCAGTCCCAGACAGGGCTCTGAAGTCTGGCCGACTGCATCTCAAACGTGTCTGAGGCAAGAGCGCTGCCAGCCGCCGGCCCGATGATAGTCCGCGATGCCTTCAACGTGCCTGCCTCTACCTTATGCGGGGTTCCGTGACTCGGATCTGTGGTGTGAATCGCGAATACCTGCGGACCATTTACTGCGGTCTCAGTTGGAAAGGGCACACTTCTCCATGGATTGAAATACCACATTATCAAATACGCGTTGCTGATTTGAGGATTTTCTTTTCTCTTATCGAGCCCCTGTCGTAGGGTGAGAATAGCTATCCAGCGTGCTACGCAAGCCAATATCACACATCCCTTGTCCATTACTGGCCTAAATCCTTGGATGGCTAGGGCCAACCAGGAGGCAAGGCTGCCGGCCGGCTGACCAACAAGAACAGGGAGGACGGCAATCTTCTATCAACCACCGACGTTCCAGCTGAGCGCACAAGATACAACCAAAAAAGGAGTGCCAGAGCGGTCCAAGCCCTGTTTGACCACACCTGGGTTGGGGGCATGCACGCGCGCTGGGCAAGGGAGTGAAAACGGCCGACGAGAGCATTCCACTGACGCCAGACAGCTGGCGTTCGAGTGGCGCCGTCGGCGCTCAGACAATCCAAGATAAGCGAACGGTTTCCCCAGGCCCCTGAGGCTGTCGGCGAATATGTCCCGTCATTGTGTCTTTCTTTGACGGACGCTTGCCTCCTCCGGGTACATGGCGGTTCGTGCCTGGGGTGGGAGTGGGAGAGACTGATCCAGCCATATATCAGACACCATTGAATGACACCAACTGCCAGTCAGCCCACGGGTTGCGACATGGACGGATCCCTACCCAACTCGACGCTGTTTCGCCATGCCGGGTTGATGGGGAGTGCTGTGAGGGGTTTTTGCTCCGTTTATCGCAATTATTTCAATTATCATTTATTTGTGTTATTATCCTTACTATCTGTGTTAATGATCGTCTGGGGGTATTTGGTACTTTCTGCGGTGTGTGTACAGAAGGACTCCACGTCTTGGGAAGGTCGTCAACCACAAGAGCCGGTGGATGCGGTGCGAACAACCTGCCGCCTGATGTCCCTTCGTGCATCCGACGATTCGACGTCCACCAACCATGCTCCCTCCGCAATTGGCAAGCTTCTGCTCCTGTTCCTTTCTCGTTCTCTTTTTCCCCAAACGTCCCCAGCCCTTGTGCTATTACATGGTTGTGGTTGCTCATACCGCCTGCTCACCCACACCAATGGTGCCGGGGAAGACTGTGCCTGTCACCGACCCAGGTCGGTAATATAAGGTAATTGCGTAGGCATATCCTGTGATGCCGTCCAGGGATTGCGCCTAGCCTCTCGGCAAAACACAATCCGAGGTTGTTTCCAATGGCCCAGCCCTGTTCTTCTCCGCGTCAGGATCAGTTACAGCATGTGGTACCTTGCCGAGAGAGAGCCCACGCGCCCCATTGCACCGAGGAGGAGGCCGGAGCAGGGCCGCACCTCTGGACAGTCAGTCCCCTAAGCGATCGCATCGCGTGTCGGCTCCAAGGGTCCAGTGCTCGGGTGAGACTGGGCGACACCTGTCAGGACAAACGAAAACCGACCCCTAATGCGGGGTTGTACGTGGGCATGTGGCAAAAACACCAGGGTTCACATGGGGCAGATGGACCGGCTGTACCTTTTTTCTCTGCCTTTCCCCGTCTTTCCCCAAGCTCCAGGTCTCCAAGGATTTCCCACATGACCTCCAAACAGCAATAATGGGCGGATTGCTGTTGACCGGCTATCCCAGGCTTGCCCAGGGAATCACAGGACAAACTGCACTGTGGATCGTGGAGCCTTTCATGCGACTCATCACGCGGCAAAACAAATATCCTCTGGGCATCGGCTATAGCCTACCTTGCCTAGGTAGGTAAGGTAGTCAATTGACCCTCGGCCCCACAGTCACAGCCGCCGTTTTGCCCTTCGGCTTTTGACCGTGCAAAACGGTCAGGGATCAGGGAGTGGCCCCCAGTCTGGAGAACGCCCTCGGCGGACCAATCCCGACGCTGTACCGACACATGAGCACCAATCTACCGTTTTGGAGTAGCCTGTGCGGAGAATCCTCGCCAAAACTGTGGATGAGCTAATCCGTTTCCCAGTTAAGGTTCAATTTATGTTAGTACTGTCGCAAGCAGCCGAAGCAGGCCCCGAGCAGGTCCCGAGCAACGGGTGAGGCTTAGCAGATACAAACGGCTTTTTTTTCCTCCCCCCATCATCCCGATGGAGACATATACCAATGGAGACATAATGCCAATGGAGAAGGGGGCGTGTGACAGTGGAATTTTGTGGGAGTAAATGCCTTGTTGATTCTAGTCTGTCTTTTGCAAGGCTAAGAGTTGTTTTCTTTCGCAGAACTACCAAGTACGGTAAAAGCTTCCGCTAGGCGACGTTGGTGAGTGCTGCTACCGAGTGCTAGGCCTTGGTTCGACTCTGGCGTCCCACATGGAACTGCGGCCCCGGGGCCCGCCACGCGTGAACGGTTGAGATGACCCTCGGGCGGACCTGCCTAAGCACAATTACCAGCATCCTTAGTGAGCAGCGGCGAGAGGACTGTCTCCGGAAATTCATCTAGCGCTGGCCAAGGATCGTTTGGCGTGTTGCCCCGACTTGGACCCTGCCGATGCCATACAGCTTGGTTGGAGTGAGCATTCGAAATGACAGGGTGACCATTTGCCAGATTCGGGGGGGGGAGGGGAATGGAATATTCAGGAACGATCACAATCACGATACTTGACAAGGCAATGCGGGGTGGAAGGTTTCCCCCACGAGCTACCACGAGGGAGCCAGAGGGCCTGGGCCTGGCTCTCGGGAGGGGAATTGCTCCTCAATCGTCACGTCGACTGAGAGTTTCGACCGCGTGATGATGGCCTTCTGCTGGGTCGTTCCCGGTGGCTTTGTTGGAGACCGCTCTAGTCATCTACAAGGGCAAACCTTTCTCGCTCATCTGCCTCGCCCTCTCCCTGGGCCGTGCTCGGAGATGTCAAAGGCCAGCATTGATGCCCAGGGTGGACCATTGGTGGGTTTTCCCAGCATCACATGGGGAGCCTCCCAGGGTCTTGTCAAAGTCACTCCGCTTTAGGTCCGGTGCTGGTGGTTCCCAGCGGAGCCGTATCCCATTACAAATGGGTCATCCTGGGGTGTTCAGTTGGGCAGAAGAGATTTTCGAGTTTTTCGCATGCAGGTGGGTAATCGAATTTTATCAATTACCGATTAATTGCCTCCTCAATTCACGATGGGCGTTGGCGTAGCCTGTCAGGATGCCGTCGAGCTGCCTAATTGCTAACCCAATGCCGGGGGGAGCACTTGCGTAACGTCTGGTCGGAAAGTTGCCGACGCCCCTCGGCCTTTCATCTGTATTTACCGGGGGGGATAGTAGGATTGAGCTAATCAAGGGTTCCAGATCGTTGGGACAGTGAAAGCGACCATCTGGCCAATGTGTGGAAACGGTGCCATAGTACCGTTACCCTATTCTACTACTGCTGGCACTAGGTAGCTGCTCAAGGAGAGCAGCACACTATCGAGCCGCCGTTTAGATCTGCCTGGTCTAGACTGTGATTATGGCCTCATCTCTAGGACAGCTACCCTGGATTTCGAAGTCTATCCAAGGGCCTAGATGCGTATTATTCCCTCTCCCCGTGATCACTCTGACAATGGGTCCGGGGAAGACGAGGGGCGATGGATATTTTGCTCCTCTGTTGAGTTCCGGGGAAGACGCGAGGTCTGTTGCGTGTCCTGTCTCAGCATTGAGGTTGTACGATAGTATTGGATTAAACGGTTCTTAGGTTGAAGGAGGCCCCAACAATGACATCCACCTGACCACGATGACTTTGGTGATGGATCCTTAATTTTTGCGAAATATACGTAAATTAAATTTATAATATTTACAAGCTCGCGTCAATAATGGTTCAGCCAGGCGGCCGAACGCAATGCAGGATGCACGAGGGATTGTGACCAACCAACACGCCCCCTCCCCCAGAGCGCCACAGTTCTTTAGATATTGTGATGGCGAATGAGCCCCTCACCCAGCGCAAAATGTGAGTTATCGGCAGTCAGCAAGTGCCGGAGGAGCCCCTCGCTGCTTGATTGGTAGGGCCAGAACAATCAGACACAGCGAGAAGCCACAGTGGCCCCTCTGCTCGTCTCAAAACTCGTCGATCCAAGGAGGGTCGGTCATATGCCTAATAATTCTACGGCACATCTCCCGTCCTCAAAGAGTCCGGGCCAATAGCCTGTGTGATCTGTCACTCTCCTTTTATTTCCTTTTTTCCCCTTCTGCACCCTCCAGCCAATTTCTCTTATTCAGACAATACGACGGTGTTCCAGCGCGCTGTGTCAAGGCGATCTCAGCTCGCGCTGCATGCGACATTCCGCTGCTACGGTAGGTACTATTCCTGGAGTTTTGCCATATGATAATAATTGTACACCCGCCTCGGGGGGCCCTCGTGACCCAAGAGCGAGAGGGAAAAAGGTGGAGAGGCGCGAGGAGAGGCCTTCCCACCCAACCAGTCTATCTTCAGCTGAGAAAAAACAAATACAGCGAGGCAAAAGGACCTGTGGGGAGGGACGGCAGAGGGAGCGGGATGCGAGACGATGTCTCTGAGGACACGGCTCAGAATCGATTGTTTCTTCCCGCCGCACTGCCAAGAGATGATGCTATATCGCGGGACAATATGTGATATCCTTTCTTATTGGTGTTGCAGGTGGCCACGGATGCAACCCCAAATGCGATCGAGCTGAGTCGAGAAGCGACAGAGTTCTATCAGCAGGTGCACCGATGTTGGTACGTGATTATTGGCCTTGTACGATCCCAATTGCTCATCCGTCGACTTGGCTACCCCAGAACACCACATTGCGGGATCATGGGGTAATTCGTAATGCACTCTCGTAGTATCAATGTCTGAGGGGGGTATTGCTGTGACGAACTCTCTGACTGTATTTGCAACTCCAACCGCATCCCGCCACTCGCCCTATGCAGAGCAACTGTGACGAGCGAGCGTGTCGGACGTAGCAGTGCGTATTTGCCATGCTTTGGTCATCTGTTCCTACCCCAGGATGAGCTGCCGTCAGCGAGGCAGACAGGAACGCTGAATGATCTGTTGCAGCGAAGCCCATCTTCCTGCGCTCCAACCACATCAATCCAACCACGCTTCCTACTTCCCCAAGGAGGGTAACCGGGGAGGGCACGCCCCCTTAGAAATGATGACAAAAGAACCCAGGCTTACCGTTGCAGCGGCCAGTGGACAGTGATGGCCAGGCACGTACAGGCTGGCTGGCTGCGCCCCTCGACCACCACAGCCAAGCCTCAGCTCTGCTAACTTGGCTTTTTTTAAGGCCCTGGGGGGGTATTGCGTACTTGCATATACCGTACATGCGCCATCGTAAGGGGGGAGCACAGCACGGCACACTTTGGCCCCCATGTTTCCTTGAGGCGCGGCGAATGATGAATGACCCTTCCCCGAGCAAATGATCAGTCCCCTTCTGGACTCAAGTCCCTTGGAGGGCCAAATGTCCGATAGTCGCGGGTATTCTGGACGTTGATCCGTTACAAGGCTTGCTTGCTCGCTCTTCCGTATCAGGGCTGGGATTGTGGTGCAGGCCGGAGGAATCTGGCTATGTGCTCAACCCCCACGCTGGCTCGCTGACAGTTTCAATTCGGTCATCTCGCTGCCGTTCGTAGCCAATTTCTCGAGATAGAGAGACCGCAGATCCCATTCAACTCGTGCCTCTCGCTGCTTTCCGCTTCTGGCGGCGGGCTCCATGCGCGCATTCCGTATCTGACGGCAGCGGTCTGCTCTACTGCTACCTACCTACGTATGTGTGAACCGTCCATTTCTTTGAGAACCATGGCAGCGTTGCAATTGCGGCGGCCGCACTCGCGCGCCACTGTCTGTTCCACAGGCACCCCCTCATACATACATAACTGTCCATCGTATAACCACCATCAGGTCCAGCGTCGTGTGGTTGGTTTGCTGACAGGTCAGGGTCCAGGAATCCCGCTTCCAACCCCGACCCGTGGACTCGCCCTCACCAGTCTGATCCAGCCCGACGAGGATCGACTGGTCCTCTCGATCCAGGCCGTGGGTTCAGCTGATGACGCGAATCGACGGCCGGGCCCAGCCCCCTCCCAATTGCGCAGGCGGCAGCTCTGGCGGCCTAATAATGTCGTGATTTCCTGGGCCAGAGGTCGAACGGTCATGCCGCAATCCGCGGCTGCCCCAAAACGCTGGGCCATCTCGATTCGCTAGCGGTCCCGAACAGCGTCTGGCCATGCCGATGTCGACAGTTGGCGTTTGGCCCTGGGAGCGAGCAGGGGAGGGGACGAGCCTACCTGTCCGGGGGGAAGCAGCCGTTGCAAATCATGTGTCTGGGCCCCTGTTTAGTTTTAGCCCGCAGGTGATACCTGGGACTTTATTATTAGATAGTTTTAGCACGGAGTTAATAGTAGGATGGATGATTGTAATAACCGCCCCCCTCCTTCGCCCCTGGCCGGCCTTTGAATTAACCAACCCTCTATGTAATTGCTTCAGGTCCCCTGGGACTCATCAAGGGTTGCGAGTTTGCAGAGGGTCCCACGTGGGCAAGCCTTTTGCCTGGGGAACAGATCCGGCGTGCCGCCAGGATGGGTTGAAACGGGGAGGTCCCTTCTCTTCAACTGATCCCTGAGGAGGCGTGATTAGACAAAAGCACCTCGAGCGTGCATTCCACTTGCCTGATTCGAACGGCGCAGAGCGGTCAAAGATCTCGAATTAAGATAGCCACGCTGGAGAGTTGTATCGACGGGGTGTCAATGAGCGGTCGGGTTGCTGGCCATGCTTATCCCGACTGTTTGGTCTCAATTGCTGTCCTGCCTGTAGAGAGGAGGTCGCACGGGTCAGCGCGTGCCTCCATCGGTGCTAATATTGGATTTGCGGCAAATATGAGAGAGGAATGATCATCTGCCCTCTAACATGACGGCAGAGTAACACCATCGTCAGGTTGGTCGGGGGGGGGGAGGAGGATGAAACAAGAAGCCGAGCAAATGAAGGGACAGACCGTCAATTGCATCCTATACCGCGTACTACTACTCATGCTGATGGCATTCCATGGAGTGAGTTGGATAACGAGGAACAATGTCGTTTTTTGGTCAGCTTGGAACCCCCTACCGGCCGGCCCTTCACCTTCACCCGCACACCAACGCATGATGATGACTCTCGGACTGCTGAACTGTGGGGGTTCACCAGCATGCAGACGCATCATGGGTGGCCTTCTGGTCGTTTCCCGGGGAGCACGCCTTGTTCTTCCACGGGGGCGCACTCGTCCATGGGGGCTCCCCCCCCCCTTCCCTTCGCTGTGCAGTGTCACAAAGAGATCCATCCCTTTTGCAACATGAGCATCGAAAACGGCAAGAAAAGAGACACACACCCCTACACCCCCGGGGCCCTGGCTCTGCTGCCCTGGGTCGCGGGTCCCTACTACGTAGCATCTTCCGCCCATGCAATCGCCAGCTAACTCACACATGGCTCCCCAACTGCCTCTTCAGTTCAGATGGCCGAGTTTCGCCTTATCAGCTGGGGGTGGGAGGGCTGCCCAGATGGTAGATGCCTAGATGGATGGATGGCTGGCTGCCCAGGCACCATGCCCAGCATTCCAGAAGGTTAAGAGGGTGATCCGCCTGCACACGCCCCTCCTCCTCCCTCCTCTCCCGCCGGCCCAGGACGAGGTGTCGAGATGCTGTATCGGTGAGCGCATGTGGGCTGGATGGTGTGATTGACCTGATCGCGTTCGTCTCCCAGCGTCGTGGGCCAGCAAACCAGCGCAGAGGGCAATGCACACTCCCCACGGGAATGCGGACGGGCCCTTTTCTGCCCAGGGCCGTTACCGATATTTCACACGCATACGGACGGATTCTGCCTGCCTACGTAGCAAGAGAGAGGCATTTCCCCAACTCACCGCCGCTGCGGCGGTGGAGGCGGGCCAGGCCCATCCATCGCCGTCCAGTCCAGTCCAGTCAAGTGCACACTCATGTAGGGTCTATCCTATCAAGATGGGATACGGATGCCCTGCATGCGCCTCGCTCGCTTGTATTTCGATGGACATTTTGCCTCGCAGTTGATTTCCCGTAAACTACCCGACACGACGGCAAACAAGTCGGAAACGGGTAATTGTTACGAGTCCAACCAATGATTAAATTCCACAATAGAGCAATGGTATAATTGACTTTTATTTAATATATCCGTATAGTATTATTCTACCGTTTCTAAACAGGTTCCCATCGCGGCTTACGTCGTCGGGATTTGCCGCATGCCCGGCACGCCGAGCCCTCTGCCAGTTCCCGATTTTTTTGATACAGCCCGTCGTCCCTGGCACCATGTCTCATTGCAGCGAATGAGTTCCCCTTGGGATGCTGTGTTGACTCACCCGAGCTTGTTTTCACCTCGGGAGAGACATGAGCATCACATTCGCTTGAAGAGGGGGGGGGGGCGTAGCCGCTTGCAAAGGAGGAATGGGGTGACGTCCTCCGTGTAAGAGGGCCTTCTCGCGGCGCGGCGCTTGCAACGTCGAACGTATCTGATGCTGGGAAACCCGTGTCCTACCTGATCGTGGCAACGGGGGGGACCTTTTGGAGATCATGACAGGCCCAGCTCGTGAGACTTGGCTGCGTGTGCTTGCTTCTTGTGAGAGCGTGCGTTTTCTCGGCCGCCCCTTGGCTGGGGGGATCGATTGGTTCCCCCCGAACGACGGGCGAGTAAAAGGTATGCGATGCGGTGGGACAGAGCTGTCGAGTGATGAGAGGTTGTGGCACGCTGGTGATCATCGTGGTAAGTAGGTGATCGCTGAGCCTGCATGCTTGTGTTAGCCGGGTCAGTCGGGCTCGTCCCGGTTCCTGTCCCAAGTCCACATGCACTCTCCCGAGGCCGAGAGTTCGTGCTCGTACAATGGATACCCGCCTTGCCTGTGATTGAGCCATCATGCTGTCCTCACCACGAAGCCGCGGTGATTGGAAGAGGTGATGGGCAAAGGGAGGGAGGGAGAGACACATTCCGTGGCGTCATGCGATAGTTGGGCTGCAAGACAATGCGGGTTGGCTTTGGGCGGCAAGGCCATTGTGAGCTGAACATTGCTGGAGAGAGGGCATATCGCCGAGGCGGCTGGGTGCTCGCCCCGATGCCTCGAGATGCTGACGACGGACGTCGTTCAAGTGCCACTGCTCTGTATATTGTCTCACCCGTGACTATCATGTGCACCCGAGAATAGATTTCCAGCTCGCCTACTTCCTGGAACAGCACATCCTCAACACGTGGCTTACACATAGTTACACAGAGATCAGATCGAAATCTATTAGTGGGAAAATTTATCATTTGTTTGGGCCCGAAAGTGGCATGTTCGTCTTGCCCAGCGTCAGGAGACAGTCCTCTCGGCCATGTAGAGATCGAGTCCCGGCTCGCACTACCAGCCACGTTTACCTTGAGCCCGTCCTTGGGGAGCACAGTGAGCAGTGCCACAACCCGAATACTGCCCAATGTCCTTGGTGATACAAGCGATCCCGCAGCTGGATGCTCGGTGAGCGGGACACATGTGTTGATTGCTATCTAAACACCCTTTGCCATGGTCTTAAAGCCGATATTCATCTGGCAGTGCAGGTGCACGGCATATGCATGTGCTCATACATGTATGTATGTATGTAGGGCGTACATATACGTTTGTTCCACAATAATCTCTTTCGACATCTTCTTGGGAGATGCCACTGTTGGTAAGATCAGCTGTGGGATATACACCTTTGTTCTTGCTCCGCCTGTGTCTGTATTATCCATGGCGACGGAAAAAGTCCTCGCAGGCATTAATTGCCGGAATAGTCAGTTGTCCAGATCTAGGCGAAATAATGGGATCTGGTCTGGTGACACCATCGGCAAGGGTGATTATACACGGTGCGCAATCGTAAGATGGGGTTATCAGGGCATAATAGGACCATCTCCGAATACAATTCTCCTGTAGATGACGCGCAATGGGCTCATTGCCCGTCGAGCGTGAATCCCCCAGCCCTTCCTGGTCCATCACGCGCCGCCTTACACGATGGAGAATCGTTGACCGTATAACATTGCTCCCAACGGTGAGAGCCATTTCCAGAGTAGGTAATCCAACTGACCCAAACAGCCTCCGGGGGACAAGGACCCTGGGCATCCATGGCAAGGCCCCCAAGGGTGGGTTCGGCTCGAGCAACCTTCTTGGCCCCTCTGGGAGAATCGTAAACGACGGTTTGGAGTGCCGCAGTATCAGGAGCCGAGGCGAGCTCGATGTAGCCGGGGAAATGGGCTTGAAGGGACGGCATGTCTGGCCTCGTTACAAAAGACCCTCCAGACAGGAAACTAGGCTGCTAACGGGGCCGAGGTAGCGAGGTCATCTCATGGAGATGGCTGGCCACAATTTCCATCTGCCACCTCCGTTCTGTCTTCCTCTCCTCCGTTTCTCGATCCTTCATGTCGATGACTTGGCAGCCTTGCCTACTTGACGATCCGAAGCCCCGGGCATTCGGGCCTATGACAGATAGCCAGTGCCATTCGTCAAAAAGAAAGATGGATTCTGCCAAATCAGGTTCCAACAGTGGCGGCAAAGCGTAGAAATGAATTATCATTCGGGGCATGCACCCCAGATTCAGTCATATCGACCGGGTCAGGGGCACGGGGATGGTCGGGTCGAATGGCCTCCCCTCCCCTCTCCCTGCGCCCATGACATGCAACCGTCCAGCGCAGCAGGGGGGAGAGAAATCAAGCAGCAGCCATTTGTGGGATTTTGGCGCAGCCCATGGGCCGTTGCCTTACTTGATGCTTTCAAAGATGGCTCGAAACACCGGTCGGCGATTTCCACGGCCCACATGATCGCCACGTCGCCCAAGTCTGGAGGCGTGCGTCCTGACGTGTCCGAAACTGGTCACCAGAGACCCGGACCAGGTTCCTGCTGAGGGGGCGAGGGCGTCATTCTGGGGACCCAAGATGGGAAATTGATATGTCTCGGTCGCTGCTCCCGCTGCTCCCATCGCCCTGTAATCGGCCAGAAAGAGCTCTACTGCTCTATTGCGACGAGAGCATGGGAGCTGCTCACGGAGGCGATGTTGGCCGTCTTTCCGCTGGCGCAAGAAGATGAGCGACCCTCTTCCTAGGGGCGGTGACCGGGTGACAAGATGGGGGACGGGGGTTTGGTGATCTCAGCGGTCTTGTTTAGCCCGGCCAAGGTGCAGCAGGACCCGTGAGGATGGTTCCAGGGTCGTCATCCATCCCGTGTAACGTATTGTGTAGGTGCTGCACGGAAGACATCCCGCCAGGCCTCGGCATGGAATGACATATGCCAGGGGGAGATGAGCTTCAATCCTCTGCACGACCTTTGGGGCACGGCTGGGGCACGGGTTGGGGGCCACGGCAACACTGTTCTTTTTTTGTTTGACTCGAATTGATTAAATCGATTAAATAATTTCAATTAACAAAGTACGTACTTCTGGGGGGTATTGGAAATAGACGGCAGACAGGAACCAAAAGAGGCGCAAACATGCCGCGAGTGTTGTGCTTTCCAGACACTGAAGACCCAACTTGTAAAAAGACACAGAAACAAAACATAACTAGACAATAAAACCAAAGAAATAGAACACCAGACAGAAAGGAAAAATTCAGAACAAGAAAAGAGTCAGACAGAAGAGAGAAGTGACAAGATAGAGGCACCAGCCTGGATCCTCCGAGTCCCTTGGTTGAGGATGATGGCATACTCTCTAGACCTGGACTAGGTCACCTGGTGATTGTGCCATTGGCTGCATTCAGGTGGCTGATAGGAGGTCCATCGAACCGAGGAAGATAAACGGTGCCAGCTGGGAACGTTCTTGTAGGTGATGCGGGAGGTGACATCGAACATGATGATACCAGCAAGATACCTGCATCCTACTACTCACAGGGAAGGATTGTGCCTAGAATGGCAAGAGTCAGTGCAATGAGGCTTCCTACCACTCCGTAGGGGCTCGCGATAACCGTTTTGACGTTTTCGAAGCCCACGGTCGACTCAACCTGCTCTCCATCCGACTTCATCCATTCTCTGAAAGCAAGCCACTGCAAGAGCAAAGCACCGAGTCCAGTGTAGACTTTTGGAGAGAGGAAAAAAGCTTTGAGCATCCGAAGCACTCGATCTCTTGTTGTCACAGGAGGAGGGGCAGCATCGGTAGGAGTAGACTTGGCTGAGGACTTCTTGACCTTTGCATGCTTCTTGGTGGGAATGAGCATGCAGCTGGATAGATATGAAAAAAGACCGACGGCGAGAGCTGTCCAGAGGATCTCCTGCTCTCTGTCGCTACATTTCCACTCCGTGCATACTTGTCCACACACAGCGGAAAAGGCGAGAAGGTTTTGGCCAACAGCCAAGACGAACTTGAGGGAAGAGAAACGGCGAGAACGATGCGTAACTGTAGATGCACTACCCCCTTTTATAAACAGAGACATGGACTCGTCAAGAACCTGGACCAGGGCATGGGTAAAGAACATGGCGTAACTTGTCTCCATCTTTGTGAACTTGGTGAAGCCATTGGGCAGAAAAATGGAGGCGAGAATGATGATAGCATCTGCCCAGATCATGCGCAGTTGTTCCGCTGCCACGGCATGATCAGACACAGCTCTTGGGTTTATCTGTGGGAGAGCCTTCTCTGCCTTGACGTCCTTGGACAGGTCCTCCACTGGCACCCTGACCTCTTCACCGACAGATATCCACAGACCAGTGCGGAGAAAGAGATCCCCAACCAGGAATGCAAAGCCAGTGGCGGTGGATAGGGCCTGACTGGAAAGCCCTGCGTGCTTCGCGATCAAATCTCCAGTATAGGGGCCGTGGATCATAAAGGCCACGAGGATGGAGCTGAAGCGGAGGTACATCTCGCCCCTCTTGATAGATTGATACCAACCCTCGGCCAGGAATTGGTTTCCGTTTAAGAAGCATCTGCATGCCGTCATTCCCAGCTTGATAAGCAGGCACAATGCCGAGACAGACACAGTACTCTCGGTCCAAGCCCTCATGTGCTCATCTGCTCCCATAGGATGCTCAAGAGAGATTGCATAGAACAATACTTTAAAGACGACGGCAGCTGCTGCGGATGCTGCCAGGCCAATGTTGTAGCGAGTGATAAACACGCCTGTACCTCGGAACAACAGTCCAATTGGGCCCTCAGTGGGCTGTTCGACCATTCTTGTGAAGACAAAGCTCACAATTATGGCCTTGTGAGTATAAGCGGCAAAGAAGAATAGGCAAGTGGCCCGGATCAAGTCCCACATCCGATCTGGCGTCTGGATGATTCTGCCCATGAGATACAAAGTAAAGGAGACTTTGAAACAAACTAGCAAGACAATTTGCAGTAGCTTATTGGCATAGAGGATTTGACAGGTACCTGGTCGGTATCCTAGGCACCTCATGACTTTGTGAAAAGAGGTAAAGACGTCACCGAACTGGGTGGCTATGTGAATGTATAGAGGCGCAACCATGTGAATGCTGGGCGCCATGATGATGTTAAAGAAGACGGCCGTGCAGATGAGGTGGTGGAGAAACATTTCCACTGAGATCTCGTACTGAGGAAGCAGTTCGGTGGTCCAGGGGATAACTTGAGAGATGATGCAGATGTTACCGGCAGTTGTCATAGTCTGACCAGTTTCCCAGGGCGTCTCTCGAGCCGCTATTAGACACGACGGCATGGTAACCAGACCACCAACCAGGCCCCGAAGGGACATCATGATGACTGGGAACAGAATCGTGAATCGACGGCGCCCCTCCTTGTTTTCTTCATACCATTCTGGTAGGATGCGTTTGATGATGAGATGCTCGACTGCCGGAAAGAGAACCCAGTAGAGGCAGATCCCAGCCATAAAGGCTCCGAGCACGACTTGATACTGAACTGCATTCTCCATGGCTGTTGAATCCAGAGAGGATGTTTGCAATTCAGAAAAGTAGAGAAGTTGGGGACAGAAATCTCAACTGTGTTGGTGTAAGATTGGTGAGAGAAGTAGCCCCCTACTTGGGATCAGGCCAGACATGCGACTATAAGACGGACTCCAGATCATCAGGACACTTGGTCTTTTAACCCAACTCAAACACCTCGCATCTCGTATGGTGTACCTTGGATTTCGAAATCAGCTATCTCCGTTAGTCATAATAATCGAGGAGGCCATTGGCGGCAAACTCAATCTATGACCCCCCTTGAAAGGGGCAGGAGTGTCCCCCATACACAGCACAGCGTAAATCGATCTAACCAGAACATTGCTATCCTGGTTTTGTTCTTCTATAAATTCAATCATCTCCAAAGAAGCAAAGACTGCAGAAACAACCATGTCTGACATTCAAGAGAAAGCCCTGCCCGACCGTATCAACTCCCTCACGAGCCCAGGATGCTACTCTCAGGGGCCGAAGAAGAACTTCTTCATTTGGTCTGCCCTGAACCTGATCACGCTCACCCACGCATTCGAATCAACTTGCCTCTGCGTCACTCTGCCGGTAATCACCACCAACCTCCTCCACATCACATCTTCTTGGAGACTGACAGCCCATCCTGGCAAATGTGCAGACGGTCGCTAGGGAACTTGATGCCTCCCTGTCCGACAGCCTCAGCTTTGGAAGCTGCTTCCTCCTGGCCATGGCCCTGATCCAGCCCTTTGCCAGCGAACTCTCCTCCATCGCTGGCCGGAGACCAGCGCTGCTCCTCGGAATTCTAACCTTCATGGTTGGCGCCGTCATCTGCGGCTGCGCCAATACTCCGACCATGCTGCTATTAGGCCGCACGATCCAGGGCGCCGGCGCGGGAGCTACCGAGCCTATCAAGGCGCTCATTTTCTACGACATCTACAAGCAAAGAGAACGTGCGAAATGGGTCGCATTCATCAATGTCTCCTGGGCGATTGGCACAGTCTCTGGACCCCTCCTCGGCGGAGTGTTCACTAACAGCAATACGATGACCTGGGTGAGTGGGAGATCTGGCCATTCTTTGGAAAAGGGGACCGAGAAGCTGACTTTGAATTTTCACTAGAGATGGGTCTTCTGGATTAACCTCCCCTTCCTCACGTTTAGCTTTGTGGCTGCCGCATGCCTGCTCGGATACGATACGCCACCAAGACTCCCCTGGAAGCAAATAGCAACAGTAGACTGGGGAGGTCTCTTCCTGTTCATGGCATCGGGGGCCTCCTTTCTGATACCGCTCACTTGGGCTGGGTCCCGATTCCCTTGGGCCTCGTACCAGGTTATACTGCCGCTCATACTCGGCGTGCTGGGCTTGGTGTCGCTGGGCTTCTACGAGAGACGAGTTGCGAGCAGACCCATCTTCAAACCATCCGTCTTCCGGGAGGTCTCGACATCCATCTCGTGTGTGAACATTGCCTTGCATGGACTCCTCATGTGGATGCTACTTTACTACATGTCCATCTACTATCTTGGTGTCAAGGACTATGACGCTTTCACGACTGGGCTCTGGGGGTTGCCGGCCACTCTGACGGTGGCTCCTATGTCCATCGTCGTAGGTATCGTTGTAGGGAAGACTGGCCACTACAAGTCCTTCCTGTGGGCCGGGTGGTTGCTTACCATCCTTACCTTTGGGCTCCTGCACCTTCTCAAGGCCAACTCTTCGTATGTCTTCCTGGTCCTCACGACCTTGGTGGTGGGAATCGGATTCGGATCCCTCGTGCCTGGAATGGCGGTGGGGATCCAGGGCAACGTCGACCGCGAGGACGCCGGCCACGCCATCTGCATGACCTTTCTGATGAGGCCGGCAGGGCAGTGCTTGGGCATCGCCGTCGGCCTTGCTGTGTTCTCCTCACGCCTGGAGAAGCTCCTGGTGGCCCAAAGGTTCCCGGCTGTGCTGGCACAGGGTCTGATGAAGCACGCACGAACAGGGATGGGGCGTGAGACCACTGAAATCCACCCTTTCCTGCTGAAAGAGATCCCGCGCATCGTAGACTGTGTCATGGAGGCGCTCCAGGGGGTTTGGACCACGGGTGCGGCGATTGCAGGCTTTGCGATGCTTCTCACGCTCTGCATCAAGACTCCGAGGATCAAGAAAGATGACCAGACAAAGGGGCCTCATCCAGGAGGCGGCGTTGAGAGCGCCGCCGCCGAGACTCCCCAAGGTCAAGCCGGTGGCCCTGCTGCCCAGACTGATAGGGTTGCCGTTGTAACATAGACAGCATTGGACGATGGTATCCGTAATGACAGGCCTGACGGGTAATCGAATGTATGCGACGGTGGAAATGCACCCCGGGCGATTGATCAATGGGGAGGCATGGAGGCGACTGACTATCCGATATTGAGGGACATATGGAATTACACAGATATACGGATGGGCGTGCACACAACAGAGTGGTATTTCCAGCTATACTTTTGCTTTTGCCAATGATGCAGGTACGCAGCTGCCTCCTTTTTTATGATGAAAAATTCATGGGAGTTAATTTGAATCAATGCCGGCCATCCAAGTTTGAAACCATGCCTGTGTGATGTGCCTCCCGGGTGCGGTGTAACTGAGGCATCAATGCTCTCAGCTGCGATGAGTCAAAGGCAACGAACACGTGCCGTGCTCTCGAGGACGGACGGAAAACCGGTGAGAGAGGGCCCAGACGGTCGGCATACTGCAGTCCAACGCATGCGTCTTTGGCCATTGAGACGAGAAGCCTGCAGAGCGTGGGACAGAAGCGTTGGCCGTTGGTCGTTTGTTGTCGCCTCCCCATGTACATGTATGATGTACGATTGTATTAATAATTGCCGCCCACCCCCCTCCTCGGCAGGTTTCCTCTCGAACTCTGGAGAAAACAGTGGCAGTTATTAATAATATCGATTATCCAACCTGCAGGGGAGATGGACGGGGTATAGGCAGGTGAAGTTGGGGGCTGAAGGGTTGGGCCTCACCACACCACCTCCATGACGGTGCCTAGATCCTATCGAACGAAGAAACGAAGTAAACTTGATTTTTCAGACGGTGAAGGAGAGAGGGGAAAGGGGGGCGTGTTCCTCTCTGTTTCCTTGGCACGGTGGGAAAATGCAGTCGACGACACATCATCTACACATGCCTCACACACATTATACACATACATGGTGTGCGCTGTATGATTAAAGGCTTTACCCCCATCTGAAATTGAAACTAACCGGGCCCTCGTGACGAACTGGGGGAAAAAAGAAAAAAAGAAGAAAAAAAAGAAAGGAAGCATCAATGCGGCAAAGGGCTGCACACACCACCACCTCATCTCGCATTGCTTTTTGGTCCCAACTCCTCGCCGACAGAGGGGGAGGGAACAAGGGCGCGAGATCACCCTTGCAGCAAAAAGAAGCCGTGATTAATTGAAATTGATTATCATGTGTGTTGCAACCCGCCACGTTGGTGCTTCCCCCCCCACGCCTATTATTGGACCTGCTTATTCTGCTGGGGGGAACCAGATGCGGAATTTATGATATACATGGCGGATGTGATATCGTTTTCCACTGCAGATGGGGGTTTACGTAGGCCTGTTTGCTTGCTTGTAGGTATGCTGGCCACCGTTTGCTACGTTCGCTAAGTACATGCATGCATGTCCCCGGGCGTGTATTTTAGCTTATTGGGTATTTTAATCAATTAAATCACATTTTGATATTTTATTTAATCAATTTATCTAAAATGCCCCGGTGATGCGTTCTTTTTTTTGGTTTGGAACAAATGTGCCGGGATGGACGTGATGACGTCTAAAACCTCGGCGATTCATCCCCCCCCGTCACAATCCTGAAATCAAAGCCGCCGAGCTCTCATACGCTGCCGAGGCGCCCCAGAGAGCCAACCAGGCCCGCGTGAGTCTGCCCAGGGCAAACCACCTGGGGGGGGATATGAAACAGACGCCCGTCGCTGGTTTGCCCGTGTGTGATTGTGATGTGATGCCGTTCTGTGACCCCGCGGGGAGCGGCATTGGGGGGAGCAGCGAATCAACCATAAACGCCGGCCGCGGGGGGTTCTTTGGTGGCTGGACACCACCGCTCTCGGCGCTTACTGGTGGTGACGGGATCATGTGAACTGTGCCATGGCGCTTCCTTCGGCCCGTCACTGGGGGCGGGAAGGGGTCTGAGTTGGAGGATCCGGCCGTCGGCCGTATTGCTAGGCAGGACGGCGATGTGACGGGTGGTGTGGTTGGATGATGTGTGTGAGGCTGAAGGTCTCACATTAGTGTTTGTTTGGGATAGATACTCAAAGTCTCCGACTGCTATTTGTCACCCCTCCGTAGCTAAGCTAAACGCCGTGGATGTTGGTATTTACAAGATACGCCGAGAGATCATGATCACGAGGTGGTCCCCCCCAGTCTCTTGTATTTCCTGGGGTCCTTCCTGCTCATCAGCCGCTGGTCTCGAGTCCCTCTCCCGCCCTCCCAGAACCCCCTCCCCTTCTTGCCAATGACGCTTCGCCCACACATGCCGCAGGCCTCGACGGCGTAGTTCTGCTCCCGGCTGCACCAACCGCAAATCATCCGGTTCGCCCACTCGTTGATGTGGTCTTCCGCTTCGTCGTGGCACTTGTCGCAGGCGTGGACGCGGCTGCAGCAGGAGAACCGGAACCACCGATATGACTTGCGATAGTGCGCACACGCTCCCTTCTGCGGGAGCGCTTCGCCCGCGTGCAGGCCCAGCTTCTCCCGCTTGCGCTGGGGTCCGGCCTGGGGCAGGACGCTGCCCGGTGTGACGACGAGGAACCTGACGTCCGGGATGCGGAACGAGAACTTGCCGTGGCACTCGCGGCACACGTTGCCCATCGTCTCGCCGCGGACCGAGACGAGCCCAAAGCTGGGGCTCGAGCACTTGGCGCAGGTGGGGATGAAGGTGCTGGGGAGCATGTCCGCCACCTTGCACCCGGATAGGTCGATGAAGCCGGCCCTCGTCGATTGTTCGTGGACGAGCTGGGGCCGGAACTTGGCGA